GGGGGTTGGACTAGATGACCCACAGAGGTCCCTTCCAACCCCTACGATTCTGTGATTCTGTGAATTAGTTGCCAGAGTCTGTTGAAATGACTCTTAAGTTATTCAGCCTTTAACAGGTGCTAAAATAAAGGTGTAGGATAACATTTTTAATCTAAGAATTTTGATAAGTTACTTAGGCTGAGTTGCATTTTCAGAGGAAATTTAGATCATAAGTAGTAATGCTATTCACAGAGACGTAAGATTATTATTCAGTTTAAAAGCAAGATTTCAATCTTCTAATTTCTTTAGGCAATTTTGTTTTCTTTTAAATTTTTATTTTAAGGATGTCCTGAGTTCAGCTGGGATAGAGTTAATGTTCACAAGAAGCTGGTTGGGCTGACCCAAAGCAGCCAATCAGATGGGATATTCTATACCATGTGACATCATGCTCAGTACTTAAGTGGGGACCTGACTGAAGGAGGGGATTTTGCTACTCAGGAGCAAGATGAGCATCAGCTGGTGAGAACACTGCATGGTGTATATGCTTTTATTAGTATTATTGATTGTTGTTTTTTTTTCCTTTGCTATTCTGTTAAACTGTTCTCATCCCAGCGCTCGAGTTTTTGCCTTTTTTCCTTCTGATTCTCCTCCCCATGCCACCAGGGAGGGGGAAGGAGTGAGAGAGTAACTGCGTGGATCTTTGTTGCAAGTTGAGGCAAAACCACAGCAAAGGAGTTGATGAACACATCATTCCTATGTGGTTAAGTTGTGTCCAGTTCTGGGCTCCCCAGTTCAAGAAAGATGAGGAGCTACTGGAGAGAGTCCAGTGGAGGGCTACGAGGATGCTGAGGGGACTGGAGCATCTGTCCTATGAGGAAAGGCTGAGGGAGCTGGGCTTGTTCAGCCTGGAGAAGGCTGAGAGGGGACCTTATAAATGCTTATAAATATCTTCAGGGTGGGTGTCAAGAGGATGGGGCCAGACTCTTTTCAGTGGTGCCCAGTGACAGAACAAGGGGCAATGGGCACAAACTGAAGCAGAGGAAGTTCCGTCTGAACACGAGGAAGAACTTCTTCCCTCTGAGGGTGACGGAGCACTGGAACAGGCTGCCCAGGGAGGTTGTGGAGTCTCCTTCTCTGGAGATATTCAAGACCCGCCTGGACAAGGTCCTGTGCAGCCTGCTGTAGGTGACCCTGCTTCGGCAGGAGGGTTGGACTAGATGACCCACAGAGGTCCCTTCCGACCCCTAACATTCTGTGATTCTGTTAACAGTAGAAATTCATAGAATATAGCAAGTATAATAGATTTAAGAAGCATGTAAAGTTGAAGACCTATGTAAAGAAAAGCAATATTAACAAGTTAGTGTTACACTGAATAAAAATAACCTTTGCTGTATTCTTTGGCTGCTTCTGAACTTTGAGGCTGTAGCATTTCTGGCCACGCTTGCTGATTTGTGCTTGTCCTCCCAAATACCTAAAGGATGAGCTGGTTAAGTTGACGGGGCTGCTCTGTGGGGACCCAGCAAATTGCACTGGTGTGAAACTAGCACAATAATTAAGGTGTCATCATTAGTACAAGGAGGAGGGAAGAGCAGAAGGAGATTTAGAAATGTCTGGAAACAATCTTCAGAATTAAATTATTTTAATAAGCAGACGCTAAATTGGCCTAATACGTAATGTTCGACAAAGGCAGACTGTCGATGGATGATTCTAGTTAATTCAGTCACTTGTAAACAGTATGTCCTTCATGCAGCAGCATTAAAGCTCTGCAGTTTCTTCATTTGAACTGTCAACAGAATTGATATTTTTAATTGTCTGTTTGAATACACTTTGCATGCTCTTGCATCTTTTTTATACCCATTACCCAAGAGCGGTGTAATTTAGCAGTTTCATTGCAATGTGAGGCTTACCAGGGCTATGTAAATTAATAGAACGAATATGCAAACCAGGCCTATAGCAGTGATTGCTTTTGTAGTCCTCGATAAGCCAAGGAGCTCCTTAATTATTTTCTGAAGTATAATAAAACAGTCTATTTCTTTTTTTCATTTTCAATTTAAACAAGGACCTACTGTACATTTCATTGCTAGTATCCCCCTTGTAATTAAATATAGGTTATGTCTGGGTCTTATGTATTTATTACTTCTATATACAGCAATGTTAATTATATCTTACATTTACTGATGGGAAGAAAGAAGAGAAGTCTAAACTGAGGGTACAGAATTTTTATCTTATTCTGATTTGTACCAGCTCTTATCAAAGCCTACTTATAAGTTGGCCAGAACAATTACATCACTCCAGTTGTGTATGCATATGCTTCTTCCCATTAGTTTCACTGGGATTCTCTTGTTATTTCTTAGCTTGTATCTCATAGTGCTCAGGCTGAACTGCGCTTCTTTTTTTATTTACCATTACATCTCACTTAACAGCAACTTCCAGACCTGGGCCATTTTCTTTTCCTAATTCTGGCATTTATTTTTCCTAATTTTGACTTTTTCTCATCAGACCCAGTTATCTCCTTATAACTTATCTTTTCTATGACCACAAACAAAAGCAGGCATTGCTCTCCCACTTGTGGCCTGCCCTGTTCTTCTCTCTGAGTGCAGTTTCCTTAAACCAGATGTTCACTTGATACAGTGGGAGAGGATGCATAGGGTCACTTTCTGGAAATACTATAGGGTCTGTCCACGTAAGGACTGTTTTAACAAGCAATGGCATCTCTGGATTTTTCTTCCTGAGAGCTTTTTTTATTTTAGACCTAAGACCATCTTCTGCAGTCAAATAGAGAAGATCATAAAGATGGCGAAGTTCTTGATAAGGTGATAACTGACAGCATTTAATTACAGGTTGTACACCTTTCTGAAACATTGATGGCCATGAAATGCTTCCCCATCAGCAAGCTTGTCTTTGGCAAGGCTGACAGGTCACTGGTAGTAACAATGCTCTGTCATGCTAAGCTGATAGAAAGTTCCTAATCAGACTCATCAAAAGTGGAAATGTAATTGTGTTACATTAATCATGTTTATACTTAACATA